ACGCTGCACTGACTGTGAGTCCTAACCCACAAATTACATGTAAAAAGACATTATCTTCTTCACTCGGACGTTCCACTGATTGTGAGTCCTAACCCACAAACTGATTGTGCACAGACATTATCTTATTATTTCTACTTCTCCTGGCTTGAGATTCACAATCAGTCTTCCCATAATACCGCTTCGACCCTCTGTGCGCCGAAATTCATGTGGGTGGCAGTTGTCAAATTTACACGGGTGGCAGTTTTCAAATTTATACGGGTGGCAGTTTTCATACAAATTTCTTGAAAACTGCCACCCGGATGGCAGTTTGCCGTCGCCCACTCGTACACTACAGTCCGTATGCGCAATGCGTGAAGTATTCACGCAGTCTGGTAGGCGCTAACACGCGCTCCCTGCTAGCCGCACTGTTGAGTTTGGCTCTAATACTGAAACTCGTGGAGTTAGCGTTCTACAACTCATGGTCTTGAAATGTCTGTACGGATTTAGAGTACCTTCATAGGGAGAGTGTGGACAACTCGATTTATGTAGCTCTCATAGCCCAAAAGGGCGACAACTTGAAAAACGAAAATCACTAAAAAAGGGCCGCTGCCAATCTATGCATTTGGAAGATCACTCAATATGGCCGACAAGGCATTTGAAACAAGCGCCTTTAAGAATTAAAACTTTGAAACTGAGAAAATGTCAGCGAAATCAAAGTTTTATACGTGATGTTCTTAATCCCTCTGTGGATATGTCGTTTACATAATGTAATATGTGTAGTGTGCAATACTGTCTTGCAGAACCAGAGGCGGATCTAGCAATTTGGCAACACCGGATTTCCTCCATTTAAACCTATGCTAAATAATCGATTCTTGACGGAGCACCTGGCGGCCTGGCCCCTCCAAGAATCGATACATTTCCATAGGTTTCAATGGAGAAAAACAATGTTGCCAATTTGCTGGATCCGCCAGTGTGCAGAAAGGATCTATCTGCGAAAATCAAGAGGGCGCAACGTAAAACTCGCCTAGGGCCAACTTCTTGCTCTTCAAAGTCCAGTTTAAAATTTTCCAACGAGGTGAGCAAGGGATTTCCTTAAACCGTGCCCTTTTGCGACTGACTTTAAGTCAAATTATTCCACTAAATATACTTGGCTTTTTTGAAGAGATCCATATAAAGAGAAGATTCATATTTTCTGTCAAACAAGGGATTGATAAGCATCGAGAAGCAGTTGGTTCCTTCCTCTAAATTGATTTGAAGGATGTGAAATCAAAAATACATAAAGAAATTTGTTGAAAAAACTGAGATTACAGCACCAATAAGTATGATGAGTAATGTTATTTTTAACTGCATCCAAATAAGAATTAATTATGAATTGGAAAGAATTTAATTCCTGTGGTTTAGGGGGAATTCCCTTCTTAGAATATTGTAGATTTTAAAAAAAGATAGCTACAACTGAAAGAAACACAGCAAGGTCTTTAACAGGCATTTCATAATTGGACCGCGTTTAGCCGAGAAAAACCAAGCTACATCAGCTATTGCCAAAAACTGGGCAATTTAAGTTTTTATAAGAGAACGTTTGTGCGGATTCCTTTGAAAATTTTAAAAAAATTGCTTCGTACTATGCAGAAAATTCACTGAAATTTGCAAAAAAAATTCGCACAACTGTTTTCATGTAAAAAATCAAATTGCGCAATTAAATTTGGCAATAGCTGATGTGACGTGGATCCTTCTTGTTTAACGCGGTCCAATTCACCTTCCTCTACATTAACAGTGCCCTTTGAAAACCGTTTTAAAGTTACACCATTTAAGTGTTGCAATCAAAGAGGCATTACTTTGATGGAACGTATAATGGTGAAAAAGTTAGGATCAAAAAGACATGCATTTTTTCCTCCTAGAAATCCTTTTTGTCATGTTGACGTGGGTTTTCTCAAATTTTCAGGTGTAATGAAACATGTTCTTGCCTGCAATTCTAGCTTTTGCTCAACAAAATTTACTGTGCAATAAAAAAGTAACAGGTTTTTGGCTGTCCTCCGAGAGTTGGAAAAAGTGACTTTACGCCTTTTCGATCCTACATGCTCAATTTTTTTTAGCCACAGTAAATCTAAGAGGGAACCAATTGAATCGGTCATTCTCTAAAAGACTTAAGCGCCAAAAATTGATTCACGAGAAAAACGGTGATCACCATCTTAATTGGACTGCATTTTGCAATTTGGAACTATAAATTCTGGCCCATCTGAAAAACACTTATGTGCGCAGGGAAACTAATGGAGCATACGTTGTTTTTAAACCGGGCCAGGATTCATAGTTCCTAATATCAAAATGTAGTCCAATTGACCCGTTCTAAATCTCAGAGCTCTGAAATATTAAAGCGATGTGTAAATTGATGATATTTTTAATTAATCTAAGATTTAAAAATGGGCATTAAATGCAGTTTCTATACCGTTTCTCTTGTACTTTAACACTTGGCGCTTAAGGCTTTTTGAGAATGACCGATTCAATTGTGCAATCGCCCCCTTCCTCTTTAATGATTTGCACTTAGGAGATGGGAACCAAGTTATTAAAAATTGGACAAAATAATCATTTCTTAGGAAGGTTAGACGTCCCTTGGCAAAGATAAAGAAACATTACTCCTCTAGGGCATTAAAAGTAAAATATTGAAACGAAAAAATTTCGGTACAAGGAATATTGCAGAAATTTTGTGACAAGCACACCTCTCATTTTTTAATTTATTTTATATTATTATTTTTTTCAATAGAAAAACTTGGTTCTTTTCGCAAAGCTCGATTTCTTCAGACGATGAAACTGCAAAAAACGAAAATTTTGTTCGCGGCGTTTTAGAATTTTCATTCATACTTCATTTTATCACAAGAGAGCCGACACTTTTGCTAGAAATTTTCAGAAATAATCCTCTTACGGAAAAAAAATCGGGGAAGTTTTCAGGAAATGACGCAGAATATTTTTCTATCTAAAAAATATATTGTGAAGGGGACGTCTAAATCGTCTCAAACTGAAATTCGCATTTTTGCAGTTATGATTGAAGGGCGTAACTTTAAATGGACGGAGTTAAACAGAAAGGAACCAAACCACATCGGGATCGAACCGAGAGAAAAAGAGGTTTAAAGTTTGGCTCCTGCATAAGACTCGATGTAATACTATAATATAATAAAGAAACAATAAATAAACTTCAAGTTCAATTTCTGCAAAATTTGCTCCAACAAAAACTTTGAATTTTCGGTGATGGATGGTAGAGCAGTGGTTGAGTTCAAAACCACTCATAACTCAATTTTTTCCAAAATGTGGGTTGTTTCCTTTCTGCTTAACTCAGTCCAAATAGACATAGCCTTGCTCTGCTGTTTTACAGCAAGAAGTGAATCTTTCTTAAGATTGACAGCAGCTCCGCCAAACTTTAATAGCGGTTTTCTTGAAATCTTTGATTATCAACCCCAAGCTTTGAATAGGGAATTTGCAGGAGTCTAAAACTTTATGAATTTTGTGTTTAAGTTGGAACTACTGCGTGAACTGAACAAGGCTACGCTTGGTTCATAAATTGAACCCTTGTTGGAGAGACATGACAAAATGATCTAATCTACTCAAATACACGTGTTTAAATGTGAAATATCATCAAGTGACGTCACTAGGTGGTCTCTCGATTTTACATGTATTTTTATACTATTTCCCCAACAGGTTTTTTTTAAAAAAAAAACAATGCGGAATTAGCTCTTTAAGTTCTCTCAAATGAAGCAATATAAAATGTGCGCGCATATTTTCCATTGCTGCCAAGGGTCAATTCCAACAAATTTTCAAGTGTTGTTTGCGCTAATTAGAGGGGTTAAGCAGATGAATCTAATTAAAACAGGGCTAGCTATGTTGCACGTAACCTTACGTACATAGTTGATTGAATTAATTTGCACATGGCTTCATTCGGCATAACTACGCCCAATCGATGCAAAATTAACCTCTCTAAGTGTTGGCAAAAGTATATTGATTTTGAGGTGTATGTTCCTTGTTCTGTCATATACGTTGCTGTGGTTATTCGTAAATATTAAAAAACGGGAAAATTATCAAGGGAGTCACATGAGTACATGAGCGAGGAACATGAGTTACTTGGAAAGTCATGCAATGCATGCGGAGAGAGTATTGCATTGTCTGGCTATTGGGGAAAAAAACAATGACTCTGTCCCTTGTGTTAGAAAGGTGACGTACAACAAATACTGAAAAACATGTTTTTATGAGATTTTCTTGGTATCAATTAGTATGTGGATTCATCACCTGAGACTTTGAGATGAAAAAAGAACAAATATAAAGTAGAGAAATAAATTTTTACTGGCTGCGCACTCTCATGCGTGTGACCTTTTATAGACGTTCTGCACTCTGGGTATTGGTGCTTTGATTCTCACTGGTGCTGAATATTAGATCGCACCTGTCGATTATCTTGTTTCTGAAAGTGCCTAACTTTGAAAATGAATAGGTAAAACGAAAAAATCCAGAAAATGGGGGAGAACTGAAAATTCGGCCAAAAATTTTTGATGAAAGGAAAATTGTTGGCGCAAGTTATTTAGTTCCCAAACAGGGCCCCATTGCCAAAAATGTGAAACTTTGTTTTTCTTTTATTAGGACCACATGAACGTGTTTTAAAATTCGGTTGTGCGCTGTTTGAAATGAACCAAAACTTATGTCTCTCTTTTCAATGTCAAGTGGAAAAAAGTTCAAAAGAAAGTAAAGCAATAAATATAAAGAATCTATGCGTATGGTTTTAGAGACAACTTGTCTGCCATAAAACGAAATCTTATTTTTACGAGTTGAGCAGCTTTTGAAGCAAGACATTCAAAAGTGGGCCTCGAAATGGATCACCTGAGAGTCCCCATCAGTCGATGCGAAAAGTTTTAATTCCGAACTTAAATTGAAAGAAAGACAATAACGAATTTAAAACTTAAAAATGCAACCATAATATTTGGTTGAATCGCCTTTCGACGGGCTCTTTTAATACCTTTTAACCCAGTTTCCTTTATGTTTAGGCAATGATTTCCGACCATGATCCGATGACACTATTTAGGTGGTTCAGAAATAAGTACGGTAAAACATACGCCACGAAAACTTTAGAAACGCAGAGATTTGAAACTTTCAAGAAAAATTTGATAAAAATAAGAATACTCAATACCAATCGTATGGACACCGCCAGTTTTGGAGTCACCAAATTCACGGATCTCAGCAGTGAGTACAATTTTGTTTTCAATGGCATGGGCTTTGCGATATATCGACTGATCTGCCATTTAAACCTATGGAAAAGGATCGATAAACAGGGTGTTCGCAACGGACACCTCAATAATCGATTCTTTACCATGGTTTCAAATGGGGAAATATCGATAATCGATCATTCGCGCCTCGCCAATGTTTGTTTTAGTTATTGTCATGGGAACGGAGTTCCCCATGATATTAGAATCGTTCCGTTGCTTTCGCTATGGGATTCCCTATACCTCTGCGACCTTGAGCGTTTCGCCCAGTCTCCGATTTTTGGTTGATTTTCCGATGTATCAAAAACCGTTGTATTTTTTAGCCAATCATGTCTCTACGTCAAGTTGTGTTGATTGCTAAAATTCGCTTTCAGCGAGTTTTTTTCCACCTTGAGATGTTCTGTCTGACTGGTAAATCTGCGCAGATCCACGAAGTTCCGTTTTTGGGCAAATTCTTTTTTTTGGGAGGTTTTCATTGGTTATTTTTCGCCATCTGTTTTCTGTTCGTTGGTGCAAAAGATCGCCTACCTCGTTGCTCTTGAGAAGCCGCCATTATCCCACCTCAAATTTTACAAATAGAAATAAAGAAATTATAACTATTGTGCAAGGTGGAAAACTGCTCTGGAGGACCCGTTACGGATATATGAGCCAAAATTGGAAGTCGACTGATTGATTTATTCCATGAATACAGAAATATTGCCTGAGCTTACTGCCGCGATCGCGAATGCATTCTGGGATGAAACTCGAGACACATGATAGCATAGGCAAACAATGTCTCACAGAGAAAGGCAGTTAGCTCTTTTTCTCATATCTCAGAGGCTTCGAAGACGCGAATCGCTCAAGGACAACTCTTGTGATAAGTCCCGCCCATCGTCCGAGTCTTTCAAATGCTATTTTTTCTCAATGTGTCGCGGGCCCGTGATAGCCTAGTTGACTGGGGCGCCCCATTTTTTTATAAGGTGCGGGCAATAGGTGATCGGGAGTTCGATACCCGGCGATGGGAGTTAATTTTTAATGGTTGTATTGAATGTTTTAGACCAATCATCAAAAAATAATTAATACTAGATGATAAATGTACAAACATTTTCTCGTGAGTTAATATGTTAAACAAAAATACTGGAATATACCTCCTTCATATAATTAGCCACATGTTTCCCCAAGTTAATGACGTTATTTTTTTTTTCAATAAAGTTTATTTGCATTCAACGTTCGTAAGTTAAGCAAGATGTACCTATTGATACAAATAGAAAGACATGAAAATAGTATGTCTAACATTTCAGTTGTTTTTTTTTTTTATTTTTTGTTTTTTTGTCTTTTCAATAAAACAAATTGCCTTGGACTAGAATCAGTGTATCTCTGAAGACAAAAGCTAAGTTTTTTGATACAGAAATACTAATATATTCATCCGTTATATAATCAGGGAGATGTTGACCCAAATATTGATGTATATTTTCTCTGTTCGCCCAAATTAATTATGGTATTTTCTTTTTTCAAAAAATAAATAAAGCAATGACATGAAAGTAGTATAGTGCACATCAAACATTTCAGTTACATCTATTTGAATGAAAAAATGGCAACTTAGGAGGCACATAGGTCACTTATAATGCGTATTCGGACATATGTGTAGAGTAAAAATATCATACTTTACGCCGAAAAAGCGAAACTGAAAGTTAAATGCGTTAACTTGCGAAAACCATGTATAATCCAACGAAAATAAATAATTGGTAAATAAAAGCTCTCTTGTATGCAAAGAAAAAAAAATTAAAAATGTTAAAAAAGAGATGTTGACACAAAATTACATAGCCCCTTCAATTCTGAAGATACTGCAAACGAACTGTACCTTAAAATTTTCATATCCCAGAAGCTAAAGTTCCCATGACGAATATTGCTATCGCTAGCGATCGCAAAAACCAACTTGTTTAGTATTCTATCCATAGAGGAAAATCTCCCTAAAGAAGTTGAAATTTGGAAAATGTGACGTCAATTTGAATACGATTGTAGTTTTAAAAAACCTCGAAAGTATGAAAGCTGCATCCGTAGTGCAAGTAAGAGGCCTGTTAGCTTTTAGATTTTTTCTAACAAGTTGGAGTAAAATGACCTCAGGGCAGGAAGCTTGCTTTGCAGCCCTGCCGTGATGTTTCAGGATTATAAACTATTAGAACGGCACGATGCAATATTCCAATCACTTCATTAAAAATAATTGGATTTTGGCGTGAAAATATCAGTAATACGTTTTACTAGAAAAAAACATTTGCGATTTAACTTAAAAAATGTGACGGCTGAAAAAACAGTTATTACACTGCAAGAAATATCCGAGATTCATCTTTTATTTTTAGCCTCTACTTTACAGAGAATAAAATTTGACAGGTTACATTCCATTTTTAGAGCCATGATGAAAAAAACAGAGGTGGGGGGGGGGGNGGGGGGGGGGGGGGGGGAGTGTAGTAGTAGTACAGGAGTCTAGGGCTTGCGTCACAAAGTGCAATTTTTCTTCCATAAATGATTCTACAGGTGAAACGGCGACGCCAAAGCTTATTTGATTTGATTAAGTAGAAGTAGAGACTAAAAATGAAAGACGGATTCTTCGCTTATTTATTTGCAAAATCTTTTGCGATTTGTTATGACAGTATCAGTTGAATTGTTTTAAAACAGTTTTTATTTTTAAATTTTGGTGCTTCACTTCAAATGGCAAGTTTCTTTCAAATTTCATCATTCATATTCTCAAAGAAATACCAAAATAGTCATTTTCATGTAAAAAAAATTAGTTCATCATGGTGCATTTTTCAGCTTGGGGTGTCCTCTTATTTTTCTCTCAGAATGTGTTCCAAAAAAAAAAAAAAAAAAAAAAAAAAAGGGAGCAGCTCAAGAAACGGACATGGAGTATGCTAAGGGCAACGGAGATTGATTTCTTGAGAAGGTCGGCTGGAATTTCTAGGAGATTGGGTCCGCAATGATAGAGTGCGTCAGATCATGGGAGTCGAAATGACATTGTATTTGACGTCATGACTAAACAGCTTGTATGATACGTGACGTTAATACGATGACGGAAGAGAGGCTGCCGATTTTATAGCCACAAAATTTTAAAAAATCGCAACTTAACTTCTAATTATCGCGATTTTTCCGTTGAAAAATGTTACGTGGATTTTTCTCCCCTCTAGCCCTGAAAATCGATTATTTAGCATCGCGTCCATGATATTGGACTCCATGCTCACCCTTGATATACTTGCCTGCTCATCTTGTCCAAGATCTTGGACTCCATGCTCATCGCCAAACTTTTCACTTCTTTGCTTGAGCATGGAGTCCAATAGGAAGTAGACCGTTCTTAGTTTTAAAGTTCATCATGATAAAAAATCGTATCCTTTTTTGTATCTAATCTAACTGAACCTAACCTAACCTAACCTAACTCAACCTAGACAATGCCCAATTTTTTACGAAAACACTTTTTTACATCTTTATTTTACAAAAATTGTCTTAATAAATTTTTTGACCATATGCTCGTGTATTTTCAGAGAATACCTGCATCCCACAATTTTGGACGTTATGCTCACTTCGATTTTACTAAAAAATTATCCCTCATTAAAGTGATCATGGAGTTCAAGATCTTGGAAGTGATGAGCAACCGAACATTATATAGGTGATCATGGAGTCCAATATCACGGACGCGAAATTACCCTACAAATCCTCCTAAGTGGTTAGGTAGCCGAAACTGTTTTCGTATGAGTTAAGAACATGTGAAAAAAGAGAGGAAATTGGTTGGATTTTACGTGCCTTATTTTGTTTTATCATTTTCAATGACAACAATCCCACACCAAGTGCGTAAAAATATCAAAATTAAGAGTCGAAAAACGCCGACTCTGCGAGGTTGAATATTAGATTCCAACGCAGCTCTGGAGCTAGAACGCGATTGCGTGTCAGCGCCTACAAGACTGCTTGGATACTTCTCGCATTGCGCGTACACGACGGAGGATACTTCACGCATTACTCGTACACTACAGTCCGTATGCGCAATGCGTGAAGTATTCACGCAGTCTGGTAGGCGCTAACACGCGCTCCCTGCTAGCCGCACTGTTGAGTTTGGCTCTAATACTCAAACTCGTGGAGTTAGCGTTCTACAACTCATGGTCTTGAAACAAAGACATGAAGACGGAGCACTAAAAGCAAAAAATGAAGCTTCTAGAGCTTCTTTTCAATCACCTCTACTATTGGCTAGAGGATTGGCGGCGAAATCGGGACAAGTTTGAATTCAAATGTAGGGCGGGAACTAATAAATAAAATTGCGGAAACAAAGTATTTTAGGTTGATTTTTGCCCAAATTCAGGTACACACTCATATTTTTTTAACTTTAGGTTAGTTTCAGTCCGTCGTCGACCGATTAATTTCATTTGGGAGTAACGTTGATCTAGAACTGTAACGGCCTGTTTGAACCTGCAGAACCACCATGAGCAGAAGAAAAACTAACTTTATCTGAGATTACTGCCTGTTACCGAGCAAAAGTAGGTGTATTATATTAGGACGCAGACCGAAATTTCTTAGTATATTCGTTTTAGGAATTTAAAATACGTTTCAAAGAAGAAATGTGCAAAAATCAAGAGGACAAGTTCAAATCAAATTTCCGTTTGCCGCCATGGATTCCCGCGCTCATTTACACACTCACACAAGCGCGCAGCGCCGAACCTAGCTTCACTTTTTCCCCTTGCTTTTAGATACGAGCGCTCCGTCTTTATGTCTTTGTCTTGAAATGCCTGTACGGATTTAGAGAACCTTCATAGGGAGAGTGTGGACAACTCGATTTATGTAGCTCTCATAGCCCAAAAGGGCGACAACTTGAAAAACGAAAATCACTAAAAAAGGGCCGCTGCCAACCTATGCACTTGGAAGATCACTCAATATGGCCGACAACGCACTAGAAACAAGCGCCTTTAAGGATTAAAACTTTGAAACTGAGAAAATGTAAGCGAGATCAAAGTTTTATACGTGCTTTAATAATTTTTGATCAGTGTAAATAGTTGAAATGTGAAAATTAGTACCACTCAATAATTCAAGTTCGTAGGTTGGCTCCCCTTTTGGGCCCAAAGAGCTACATGACCTGATCAAACCTAACCTCCAAATTTTAGAGTTGTCCATACTCTCCCTATAAAGGTACTTTATACGGATTATTTGACGCTCATGATAATTCTGAACAGGCGAAGAATTCGTGAAACTAGTGGGTGGCGAGATCGGCCGCAAAGTCAGGCGCAAAGTTCGTCGAACCAAAAAACCGGCCAGACGAGGAGCTCGCCATCCAAAACCAAACCAGAGGCCAAATCCGCGGTCATTGAACCCGCGTGGTATCAGCATACACAGATTATTCTCTTGGTCATCTAACTCCAAACGGACCACCGGTTGGAGGTCCTCGAGAACATCAACTAACCGGCCGTTTACGAGGTCATCGGACGCCCGTCAACAATCATCTACAACAAGACATTCCAGAACAAGCGCCAACCCGTCTTTGCAGAGGTTCTACATGGACCCTGTCGGAAGTCGGCAGCCGCCACGTCGGCCACAACTCTCAGGGTATGACCCTCGTGGTTCTCCTCTAAAGGATTGGCGTGTCCCTGCTAATCTCTATCCTCCAGTTGAGAAACAGGTGGGTGACGTTAAGGCATATCGACGGTGTTAGGACCGATTGTAAGACCTCTGGTCAGGTACTTGTCAAAGTGGTGGTTTGAGCTGACCAGAGGTAGTTGTGTATGACTCCCGGTTTTCTTCAGGTCAAGTCCCGGTCAGCCTTTGTTCTCTCTCGCAAATCAGTAGTTAGCCTGATTTTAGCAGATTGACTGCTGGTCAGAGTCTGACCATTGGTTTGGTGGCCAGAGGTTTACGAGAGATCTCACAAACGGCCTTAATTCGGCAATCGCATAACTCGGTTTGCGACGTCGCAGACTTCCTGTCATACTTTATTTTTTAAATAGAAAACTACTTAACGGCAGTTCTTTAAAACTGCCGTGATTTTTCTTCTCTGTGCGAAGACAATTCTGCATAAACTTCAAGGAATGATGTCAATCTGAATTTTGACCAATAATGTGGTATGAAAGGTCTAGATTACCCTGTTTTATAAAAACAAGTTTTCAGGTTTGACTATTCCCTTTTTTAATTTTATGAAAAAGTTCCAAGAACGATCCATAAAATGTCCTAATTTGAATTAACTCTCGCCCTTCTTATATACGATTTTTTTAAAATTTCGATGTATTAATTTCAATGCATATCGACGGTATAAATCGGCAATCACATAACTCGGTTTGCGACGTCGCAGACTTCCCACCATACTTTATTTTTTTACGGAAAACTACTGAACGGCAATTCTTTAAAACTGCCGTGATTTTTCTTCTCTCTGCGAGGAAAATTCTGCATAAACCTCAAGGAATGATGTCAATTTGTTCTCCTTAAAAAAAAAGCAGCATAGAGCCGAAGATTTTCAGACACCGCAAACGAGGTATGTGATTGCAAAATTTCGCCGTCGATATGGTGATTTTCTCCCGGAAAAACGGTTCGGTTACACGTGGCGAAGTTCGGTCACGCAAAAAATACGTTGAAAAAAAAGTTACGGGCTGTATAGATGTCGCGGGCTAATAGGAAAATTAGGCATTTTGCAAAATGCCTAGGCAAATACGAAAAAAAGGCAGTGAAAGCATTGAAATTTCGCTATTTGGCTAGGCATTCATGAAAGTGACTGGGCATTTATGAAACTGATGGAGTTTAAGGAAATTTCAAAGGTGTGCTTTAAGTTAAGGAATTATAATTTGTAGAAATGTGGGGAATTTTGGAGAGAAATTATTTGAAATGGGTGAGGAAACGGATATCTTAGTCGTGATGAAAATAAAGCTGGATAACGGAAAATTCCTGATATCTCAGGAGTATTTCCATTCCCGATCTTTTGCTTGCACATATTAGTAAAATACATCAACACAAAAAAATCCACCGTCACATAAATCTCTTCCCGTTCAATAAATTTTACAGTATCACGATCGGTAAAGTTAAGATTCATAGAGTGAGCTCAAGATGGCTGAAGTGGTTGTATACTAATTACTAATCTATGTAATTGTACATTGTAATTCTATCTTTTTATTATCATGATTTATTTTATTAATATTTCTCTCCTTCTCGAATGATGGACTACCAGTGGACAGATCAATATTATTGTGGAAGCTGCTGGTCATTTGCGTGCGCAGCAGCTGCAGAAATCCTTTACGCCAGACAAGAGAGAAGTATCACCATGCTCTCCAAACAAGGTACATAATAAAAAAAATAGCTCTAGTTGCACAAATAACAATCCCTTCCATCGTTCCTTAACTAATGAATTTTAAAGACAAAGTTGTATTGGAATATCGCTCAAATTTGTATCTTTCTGATGAAAAATCAACAGTCTAATATTCATCAGCATCGTTTTTAAACTAGTTGCCATTTGTTGTAATTCTGTTCTGATCTTCTCATGATTGTAGTCCCAACCACACACTGAAAAAAGAGTATCACAATCTCAACTATACTTCTGCTGATTTTTGCGCCAGCGATAAGAGTAGTAGCATAAGCTAGAAGTGTCAAAGCACTAGCCAGCGGTATAGTTAATCCAACCACACTTATGCTGACAGTAAGGGCACCAGCTAGCGGTACCTATGGTTGATCCAACCACACTTTCAACTGACTTTACCATGGGAGTCGAAAATGACATTGTATTTGACGTCATGACCAAACAGTTTGTCTGATACGTGACGATAATACGATGTTAATACGATGACGGAAGAGAGGCTGCCGATTTTATCGCCACAAAATTTTAAAAAACAAGCACCTTAATTTCTGATTATCCCGATTTATCTGTTGAAAAATGTTACTTGCTCTAAATCCTCTAAAGCGGTTAGCCGACACTTTTTTTCGTATGAAATAAGAGCATGTGAAGAAAGAGAGGAAATTAATTAGATTTTACGTGCCTATTTTTTTTATCATTTTAAATGACAATCATCCAAACCGAGTGCACAAAAATGTCCAAATTATGAGTTGAAAAACGCTGACTCTGCGAGGTTGAATATTAGATGCAAACACAGCTCTGCAGCTAGAACGGAACGCGTGTCAGCGCCTACAAGACTGCGTGGATACTTCTCGCATTGCGCGTACTCGACGGAGGATACTTCACGCATTACTCGTACACCACACTGCGTATGCGCAATGTGTGAAGTATTCCTGCAGTATGAGAAACAACTTAATCAGCCAAAATACACATAATAAAAGAACAACTTAATTTGGGGAAAAGGCTGCAAATAAAGAACAAAGAATAAACAAAACCCGGAACGTTTCAAAATAGTTACAATTTTATTCCTGCAGTCTGGTAGACGTTAACACCACGCATTTCCCGCCTATGGTTATCTATAGTTGATCCAACCACACTTTCAGCTGACTTAACCATACCTCCGGTTTGTGCGACTACTCTAATACCTGGCGCCAAAATCAGCTAGGAGTATAGTTGGGATTGTGATATTATTTTCCCTCTGCATGAAAAAAAAAATTGTTGTAATTTCCAGGCAGCAAATCATCAAGTTGGAAAATGATCAACAAATCAGAGGCTGCGTAGAGTATAAGAATATCTAGACGGATCAAGTTCTCAAGAAAATGAGGCAGGAGGGGGCCATACCGCGATGTTGAATGGTTTCCTCTGGGATCATCGAATTTCGAAAGAGAACAACCGAAAAAAGTACTTCACTTGACTTCACTGTCGTATAAAAAGTACATTAAGGTGATTCGATGGACGCCATATTTTGTGTCAGAACGGCATGCGATGTATCGCATCAATTGGTTCCATTTTCTCAGCCACTCGTCATTTTTCTTCGATTTTGAGATCGCGATTCAGAAGACGTTGTCAGAAGACTAAAGCACTCACTTACCAATTTTAACGAAGAAATTCAACGCGATAAAGGCGTGGTTTTTGTAGAGAGAAATTATCGCATTCGAGTGCAGTTTCGATATCAGTATCGAATGCGATGTTTTCTCTCTAAAAAATCCACGCCTTCACTACGTTGAATTTCTTTGTTAAAATTGGTAAGTGAGTGCTTTAGTCTCCTGACAACAGAATGGACCACTAGACAAGGTACGAATTTCAGCATTCTGATACATGTTTCTTAACTAAAATTTCACGTAGAATACGACGCGCACAACGAAAATTACCGAAATCAACTCCTTCGAAAGATATCTAATGATTCTTGATGCGTGAATTCAAACCACCCGCTCATGAAAACTCAATGGTCTACGTGATTCACATCGTGCGCTAAACGTTATCATGACAGTCTCTGCGATATAAAAATCTGGCAACCTCAATCTTGACTCTTTGGCTCAGCTGGAGCAAATTGCTTATAGTTTGAACAACACATGGTGGGAAATGAACATTACTCGATTGAGAAGCTTGTTGCAACCGTTATAGTGCGCGATTTGACTCACGTAGAGCTTTGAGTTTCTTGTGAGCGGGCAGTTCAAATTCCTCGTAACCAATGTGAAATAAAAACGTTAACATCTTCGTTTGGAGTTTGTTTCATTAGTTTTTGTTGCGCGATTCGTGCTATACGTGAAATTTTGATTAAGAAACATGTATCAGAATGCTCAAATTCGTACCTTGTCTAGTGATCCATTGCGATCTCAAAATTGGAGAAAAATGACGAGTAGCTGAAAAAATGGAACCAATTGATGCGATATATCGCATACCGCTCTGACACAAAATATGGCGTCCATCAAATCACCTTAACGTACGGTTGTGAAGTTTCAGATGAGACGTCTCATGTGACCCTGGTTGTTACCTGTTTAGATCTGATCGACTGCGTGGGTGAGAATGACGGATGCGAAGGCGGTAGCATACACGAGGGCCTAGAATGGATGTCCAGTTTTGGTGTCTCTTTGGCTCATGAATACCCTTTTACCGCGGTCACGGGTGCTTGTCAATATCTCGAAACTTACCTGAGGATTGGGTCCTATCGACGCCTTGGCACAGACAACGATTGGCCGCAGACCTCCTTAATGGAAAGGGAGTTGGAGACTAGTCCCTTGACGTGTGGAATCCCAAATTTTCCACTGGAGCTTCAGGTAAACTCTCACGCCAGGTGACCTTTTTCGGTTGTGGTACTTTTGCAGAGAAAGTAGAAACACTGAGTTTCATGGAGCTCTTCGTATTTGAAAAAATAGAAAACATAGGAAAAGAAGAAAAAGGATAAAAAAGAAAAAAACAAGCTGAACAAAATAATCAAAATTTGAGTTTGAAATATCATTTGTTTAATTTATTTTTGGCTTGTAGCTTGATTATTTTTTCAATCATTTTACTATGTTCTATGAAAGCCAGCCAAATTGGCATTAAATTTTGTTTTCAAAATTTAGCCTCGGCGCGGCCCCTTTGCGAAATTGTGTAACGTTTAGTTATTGGCCTAGGTTTTCAATTCGCAGTCAGGAAGCATAGGCCCAGGTTACCCAAGATGAATCATTTGTTTTCAAAAGGGATCAGATCCATTCCTCGATTAGTCCTAGTTCGAATGTCCTTCTATGCAAGTTAAGGCCCATGCAAAAATGGACTTGTTCCCTTTTGGAAACAACCGATTCAGTTGTCAAGACGGAAATAAGTGTCATGACCTCTAATCTAAATCTTCAACTGAACTCCTGTACTGCTGTGTTAAGGAAGAACGCCGTATGAGCCTTCAGACGTTGCCAAGTTTCCTCCGATAAAACCCGAAATTACTGGGAAGATTGTGAAAATTATTTTCTTAAATTTTCAGACAATTTTGTACACAATTTAATCTAAAATATCTGAAAATTTCAAGGAAAAATAGGCATAAATTTTGTAAAAAAATACAAGTTTTATCAATGAAAATTTGGCAACTTCCGAATGTTCATACGGCGTTCTTCCTTAGCACGGCAGTGTATTGGCTGATCTTCGGAACGAACAAGAAATTGGGGGCAACGCGGTTGCAAATAACTTCACAGTTAGAGGAATTAACTGAAAACCGAATGGCGAAATTGCACAATGGACCGGAAATATTGCAATAATCTTGAAATGCAATAGAATAGAATTACAAGTTTTTCCATGAAATTGCAATTTTTTACACCATTTGGTCTGTTAATGTCGATTAGAAACAATCGACAAAATAAGACTAGCGTGAGAAAGATATAGGTAGTTTGCAATGCTACTGGAACCTATTTCAAATTGCAATATGTTTCAATAGAAGTAGCCCCTTCAATCGCTGAATAGACAACATACGCAACACTCCAACACGGGCAGAATATCTTTTCCGCACAAAGTATATTTGTGGTAAGTTGTCCGATTATCGTTGCCGCACAAAATCATTTTCGCACAAATCAGATCTCAAACATCTGGTAAAATTGCACTACAGCTGAACAAGACAACCATGCTCCCACTTACTCGGTAGCTGTTTAAGCATCTGAGGCATTGAGATAAGTGACCGAAAGTTATAACAGCAAGCTTCCCCTGGACTTCCACCGTACTCATCCTCAAAAATGATTTTGTACGGCAACGATAATCGGAAAAATTACCACAAATGTACTTTGTATGGAAAAGATAGTCAGCCCCAACACGATAGCAATAATTTTACCATGTCTTTTCAATTAAGGGCGACCAGCGCCACTTGGGTGCCGTTTGTGCTTAGGCTTATGTTGCCAAACTTTTCCAATTTTGATGGAAAAATTAATGAACAGAATCAATCGTAAACTTTATCTGATATGTTTTTGGTCATCAAGATCAATCTGAAATCTTCATGAAAGTATGCGCAAAAATTTAAAGAGAAAATGAAGAAAAAAGTAGTGAGATGTTCGGTAAAGTAGCGTGTTGGCGGTAGGTGACAAATGGGCCTGTTGCAAACTTCAGCTAAAGCAAAGAGGAATGTTGTTTCTTGTAGAAAATGACTGAAAACTCACGATGAGAGCATGGATAGAGATAGAAATACACTCCTAACTTTACAAATTCCGAAAGAAATATCCCTTTTTTTATGCCTCCCGCGTCAAAAACTATACCACAGCGAAGGTGAACATTTCGTAAGAGGAATCGTTCCATCCAACCTTTTGCTCTCCTGTAAATATGAACACGCCGGTCGATAAAAGACGGGTTGGGGTCATGTTGCATAGTGCGTAGCATCCTATTGCTCAAGGGTTGGATGGAAAGACTTCGCTTACAAAATGTTTACCTGTACCGTAGCGCTGTACCTGTATCGTTTTTGAAGCGGAAAGTTTGGAAAAAACGCATATCTTTTACGCAGATTTTGAAATTAGATGCGCTGATTTTTGAGCCATTTTCTACAAGAAGCATAACTCTTCGTATTGCTCTGGCTGCAGTTTGCAACAGGTTCATTAAAAAATCGGTAAAATTGTGAGTTGTCGTGGTCATATTGTTGCCTATTCTCTTATTTCAAGGCGCTGGGACTTTCGGAACTTGGTTGAGTGAGATGAATTGGGCATTATATTCGAAGTCATGATTAAGCAGACACCAAGAGGTAGTCATGCTAATGGGATGTGCAATACAAAAAAGACCATTGAAGAGTCGAATCGTTATTGTTCACGCTTTGTCGATCAATTTTACACCACGAATACCACCATTTACATGACTTCTCTCCAGAAGCATGTAGGTTTTTCTATACATATATCCAGTGAATGGGACAGTATCCCCTTTGCTATACCGAGTGAGGCTTACCTCAGTCTGTACCTTAATTTTGTATGTCCAAGCCCTCAAGTTCAAGTTGAAACGAAAGATTTCGAAACATAGCTACTGTCGTAGCTCAGAAATCAGGATGTTCTTACTCATCTTTACATCTAGCTATGCGTTGCACCATTTAAACAAGTTATATAGAGAAAACAAAAATTGAGAGAAATTCTGGGCCCTTTATTTTTGAAATCATTAATTAATTTTAATTCTTTTGATTTGTGCAAATTTATTTATACGTCAGTTCTATACGGGAGGAGTTGTAGCTCCTGAATGCAATGGGCCACTCGGTCATGCTGTGGTCATTGTCGGACATTATGCAGGTATTTTAATTTTGGCATTTTTTTTTTGGTTAGATTTTCATATTTATAATTTAATGTTATCAGGATGCAAGCTTAAAGTTAAAAGGACATTAAAAAAAGGATGATGGATTATGTTATAAGATATTCAAAAACTCCCAAACATGCCATGTCGTTCAAAACTTTTTTCCATTATTCTACCATCAAAATAAATGGCTCCCCTAGAAAAAGCTGATTTTCATGTAGCTATCACGTTTCTATTAGTATTGAGCAAGTTATCTGAGGAAATGTAGTTTAACTTAATTCTCTCATCACTTAAGTAATGAAAAATGAATTATAGCCACTACTTTGGCCTCAGAATGACACATCTAACGATAGGTTCATTCCAATGGGTCATGGGTTTTATTGAAAAGACCTTTGGGAGAAGAGAGGAGAGTTTAGAATTATATTTACACTCGACTTCTTTTACACACGACAATGTTTTGACTTATATTCAGTTTACATGCATTCATCTAAATTACTTCCAATTCGACAAAAACATTTCAAAATTAAGAATGAACCATTCTTTAACGAGAAGCACTTGCTCAAAGCGAGCAAGTGCTTTCACTTTAAAGTACAGAGACCATTAATATTTTTGATACACCTTTAAATACAACATATTTCAATGGAATTCAACTACTGAAAACGATTTTAACCACAGGCAGCGTTATAGTAGGAGTGTTCAATCGAGTGACTTCTCATGCTTTATTTCAGAGGCGTGGATCATACGGAACAGCTGGGGAGTTGACTGGGGTATTCAGGTGCGTATATAAACTATACTGCGTATACAATACTAGTTTTCATCAAGATTATAAATTTGGAAAACCATAACGTGCTGTATTTCATAATTTTACTAATTACAGAAAGAGTTCTTGGATTGTCTATTTTAATCAGAATGATCCGAACTCATTAATCGGTTTTTCTCATTTCACTTAATTTTTCATTTTTTAATTATATTTTTAATTTTAACTCATTTAGTTTTTCTTCATGTTCATGGATCTAATAATCCTTTGGGGTTAGTTGGATCTTATGACCAAATCTTCTTTGATGCTTGCTTTGAATTAATTTTTTTTTCTTTTTAATCATATTTCTATTTTTAATTTGCTTTCCTCCTTCAGCTCTAGTTGATTCTGATAATTTTATCATAGCTAAAACACTTGTCACTCCAGCATGCATATTCAACTTGCTTAGTTTCCTACTTTTACCTGTTCAATCGCGGGCATATTTTAACGTTCACGCCATCATCTCGCTGTAACATAGAGAAATTCTATTTGCTTTAATGCACCTCTTGCCTCATTTTATTACATTTTCAAAGCAGGGACCATCTTTAATATTAGAGTCAAACCGGGCGTTGAGTTATTTTCTGGTTGAGAACATTTCGCAGATTGGGATCTAGGGGGGAGGGTGGAGGATTTTACTTTCAAAAATTCACTATTAAGTTCAAAGTGATGCAATGTTTTTATGATTTCCCGTCGAGGAAAGGAAGCCTAAGTTTAAAGTGGTGCGGGCTAAGATTTTAAACAAAACACTCCCAAGAATCTCTCCTTGCTTTATATACGCAATTGTTTCATTTTTCAGGGACATTTTCTGCTACAAAAAAACTCATGTGGAGTAGGATACGACGTACATAGAATAGACGGTCCGCTTGAAGAGGTCTTCTGGAGTGAACCGCCTTCCTCATCCGACTCCTACATTAGCGCATAATGCCACGAATCCATTGACAAGTCACGAATAAATCCTCAATACCTCCTGAATGAAATATATTTTGTTAAATATAAAACTGGGCTTGATAAAATGTTGATTATTTATCCACAGAGAATGGAAGTTTGGAGCAGATTCAATTACAAGATCTCGAAGGTGATCCCTCATCGAAATTATGCGTTTTAAATATTTGCTAAATTAACTTCCAGGTGATATATTATTATCATTTGGACGTATTTATGCTAAAAGGAAGCATGTGCAACTGGAAAGATGGGGTGTGCTATTAGTGAGCTGAATAAGAAACAATGTAAAAGTGGAAATGGTTCTTTTTGAGAAAATGGAAAGGCGGGATTTTACGTGAAATCAAAAGGAACTAAGCGCTAACTCGTGAGCCGTGGACATGTGACAAGAGCTTTGTGGACAGGGCTCATGAGTTAAAGCCGAGCAAGAACGACAATGAAGACGGCTTCGTTGTCGCTCACGTCACTGGCGCTTTAAAATCCTCATTCATTCTTATGGCCCTCAACCAACGAGCACACCCCATCTTTCCACTTGCACATAGTTCCATTTAGCATAAATACGTCCATTTTTAGTTAATGTTGGTTTCGGAAGATTTACTCCATGCAGCTTTTTCATTGCATAATGAGCTTTCTCATATCCATTGATTACGGCTCTGAACCATACGATGATAATAAAGGGGCCTTGCGACGATATGGATTGTATTTTGTAAAAAGGAACCAAGAGCATTCCGACGTCGCTAGAATATTGCAACATAAAATTTTTCCAATGAAATTACTGAAATCATGCCAACAAATAAATTTACGAAGGTAATTATAGGAAGGAATCTCGCATCAAGCGTCTTTATCTTTAGAAAGCACGGAACTGATGAAGCAACCATATTAACTCCGCAGTCATGCTGAGTTGCATCATTATATTTCGAAAGCGCACTAAAACCTTCGTGTACTTTAATTGCGAATATTTCTGAATAATGCGAGTACGTATAATTGAGGCGCTGGGTGCATAAAATACATTTCTTGATTGGTGTCTCAGAATCCCCGTTAACGTTTTATCCATTATGATTAGAGCAAATAGTAAGAAGTCGTTGTAACTTTCACTGAATTTCTTTTATGATTTTACAATGCCGAAAACGAAATATTTCGGAAAATTCACCGAATAGTTTCCTCTCTAAGATATAATTTAGCAATGTAGATTTTGAGACACCGCGATCAAGAAATATTTCGAAAAATTGCCCCTCTGCATGCCCTTTCTGTACCCAACGCCTTAATTTAAGCCCAAAATGTGATGAAATTAAATAATATGAAGAAATGTTAGGCTAACCATACTCATTATAATAAGAGGGTGGAGAAATGGTGCTTGATCCACACTATTTCGCGGGAAAACAAAGCCAAGAAACTCCAAAAAAATTTGTGCTCATTTTCCCACTTTGTTACACACAGTTCGGGCCATTTTTTTAAGTGTTTTTTCTCATATTCATTATACTAGAGTTTCCAATGGCACTAATAAACGCAAAACAATTCAACGACACACAATTGGACCACGTTAAGCAGAAAGGCACCAAGCCACATCAGCTGTCGCTAAATTTAATCGGGCAATTTAATTTTTTACCAGACAACGTTTGTGCGGATTCCTTTGAAAATTTTAAAACATTTGCTTCAAACTATGCTGGTCTTTCACTGAAATTCGCACAAAATTCTACACAACCGTCTTCGTTTAAAAAATGAAACTGCCCAATTAAATTTGGCGATAGTCTATGTGGCTTGGTTCCTTCTGCTTAGTGCGGTCCAATTTGTGTTATCACCGCACAGTGGATCGAGTCAATAAAAGAAGGTTGAACAAAATTTGGAAACTTTAAACGGTTTTAACACCGTTTATACAATTTTTTGAGGTTCTAAAAGTGGCTCCATTGGTTTCCTCATGAAATTTTCTTCCAGCAGCTCCCCTTAAAATTTAAAATGTGACTGAATAAACATCAAAATTTGCTGTCTTAGTCAACAATTTCATGTCTGACCTCTCCAATCGACTCGATCCACTGTGCGCTGACTGTGCGCGCCGCAAAAGACCCGCGCCTGCCGCCGCCGGAATTGCAAACGCCGACCTTCCGACGCTAAAAAGCTTCGCCCGATTTAGTGCGAGGTGAACCGCGGCGCGGCGTTGCCATTTCGGCTCACTCGAAACGAGCCACAGCTCAGAAAACCGGAAACGTTGCAACGTTGGAAGCCGGACTCGCGGGCGTCCAATCAGGGCGGGCTATTTGCGAGTGGACGGCCACCGGTCGCTGCCAAGCGGAGGCTATTTTAAAAAATTGGAGTAGGTTCCTGGGCAGCGCTCCACCACCCCCCGTCTCACCCCCGCATCCCCCTCCAGGGCGAGGAAAGTGTCATTCAATGCTGCTCTTGCGAGCTTTTGCGACGAAAGGAGTAGCGACTCGTTCTAGAGTGCCTGCTAGGGGAGAGTACAGACATGTCGGTCGTTTTGAGGTTAGGTCGTGGAGCTTTTAGGGCCCAAAAAGGCAGCCAACTTATAAATTCAAATTATCCAGAGTGATTTATTATTGGGCCTTGTCTCCAAGAGCCTTTTCACGAGATTTGTCCCCAGGGAAAAATCCCACTTACGAAGTTGGGAAAAATATTGAGTCAATCAATATTTTTCTAAGTACCAAGTACGGTTTTTTTACTCCTAGGACCCACTGAGAGAGGAAGAAGTGTAAACGAACTGTGCGATATTTTGTAGATTACTCCATTGTTCATGTTTATTTGGTTAAAATAACGTGTCTAATTGTCAATTGAGTGCAATTATTATTTTAATCCCGGTTAAATACTCGACTTTAAATAATTTATCTTCCCGCGCAAACTAGTCACAGGACCGTATGAGCCTCATCCCGTGGAGACTGTAACTGGAAAAAATTTCCCTGCTATTCGAACTTGGGAAAAATCCCATGATAACGTCCCGTGGAGACAAGGCCTAAACAGGAACTTTCTACTTTAAATATTAACCGAGATACCGCACTTTGAAAAATTTGAATTATGACGCCATCCACCGCAGTAGTAACACCTTTCATTTTTTCCACCTTGCTTTCATCAGACTTTTTTGATGTGCCCGGCGTGATTTTCGTGCGATGTTATCTGATGAAAGACTTTTTCATATAGCGGCATCTCTTGCGTGCACGATACTCATTACTGGTTTCACTTCCTCGTGATTTGCAAAAAAGTCGATCCATTACGCCCTCCTATAGGCATATTTCAGCCGCTGCCTCCATTGACAATGTCAAGGAAAAATATTCAAAACTTCCCTAACAAATAAACATTTTATTGAAGGAAATTTGGCAACATTCGAATGTTCATACGGCGATATTCCTTAGCACGGCAGTATAGAGCCCTACAATAAAGCGAGTACCAGTACCCGCCTCGCGCCATCGCGCCTTCAATTTCGAGAATGCAACACGGACATCCATCAAGCACGAATAGTTGTATCCCTGCGCCGTCATTCACGCGTGTCCTTTTACTTGCTCAATTTCCGTATTGCGTTTGTCTTTGTTCGTCTTATTTGCAGTTGTGTTTTAAGAGTTACGTCAGCAATACTGACAAAAATAGGAGAGACGTAATCGGACCTCGTTTTTTACCGTTTCTCCCGAATCCGATCGACACCTCATGGGCAGCAAAACGCGAATCATTGCAAGTTCACGCCTCGCGCCATTCGCCATGAATTAATCTTACAGATGCATGCCTGATATCTATCAAGCACAAATCAGGATTACATTGTGTAATAAGGAACCTCTAACTCTGGCTCTTCTGTAAGAGCACTTTTTTGATGTGCCTAACGTGATTTTCGTGCGATTTTATCTGATGAAAGACTTTTTCACTTAGCGGCATCTCTTGCGTGTACGATACTCATTACTGGTTTCACTTCCACGTGATTTGCAAAAAATCGATCCATTACGCCACCTATAGGCATATTTCAGCTGCTGCCTCCACTAGTCCCCTCTTTATATCGTGCTCTTTTATGAAATCTGCATTTAAACTGAGAGTATGAAACATCAACAATTGATTCGATTTGACTAATGGGATGAAATATTCCGTGTTCCCATTCTTAAAGGTTTACCTTAGGTTTTTCCGAAAAAAAAAAAAAAAAAAGTTAGGGAGGAAACAGTTAAAATGTGTCTTTAGGCTTATTCATGGATTTTTTTTGCTAAAAAACTAAAAAGAAACTAAGGTTTTGCAGAATGTGTTCGATACATCGATGTTTCTTTACTTCTGATGTAGATTTATCCTCAAGTACTGGAAGATTTGTTTCTTCCTCCCAATTTCAAGCAAAATGTGTTGATGTGAGTAATCCAGCGTAAGAAATTTCGTGTATCGACACCCTTTCGGTCATTGGCAGGTCCCACAAATTAGAAACATCGTCTTTTCTCTGTTTAAACCTATGGAAATGTATCGATTCTTGGAGGGGCTAAGTAATCCTACAAGAATCGATTATTTAGCATAGGTCAAAATGGAGGAAATCCGGTGTTGCGAAATTGCTGGATCCGCCTCTGCTTTCGATGCGTGATCATTCATGACTTTCGTTCCGGTTATTGAAAACGAAAAATCGACTCGATAGGATAGACCAACATTAGACCCCACATTGGTCTAATGCCATATCCAATTTTTAAACGTGGCACTTCAGAGATCTCTCATCATTTTTATTTTCGAAATAATTATTGATACACCTTAGCATATTGGAGAAAAATTAGCCTTAACTTCTCTCAAATTTCAGAGCATGAGACGCCTCAACGCGCGTTGGTGGTAACGCAATGACAGAAACATTACTATGATCACATTTTGCAACAAGGAACCACTGTTTCTGAATTATTTTAGGAACAACATGTATGTCATTGGCCTCCCTATGTAGAAAGGTGCTTTTACAGAAGAGCCAGAGTTAGTGGTTCCTTATTACGCAATGTAATCCATTTGTGCGTGATAGATATCAGTCATGCATCCGTAAGATTAATTCACGGTGGCGCGAGGCGTGAACTTGCAATGATTCGCTTTTTGCTGCCCATGAGGTGTCGATCGGATT